ATACGAAAGGCTAATGGTTTTTCTTGAAGATTTTAGCCTAGTTTGTATGAAATGATATATCCACATAGCTACATAAGACAACTCCATCAAGCGTATTCATCCAAATTCCAGCTATAAGGAGAGAAAAAAGAAAGTTTAGCTTTTCTAATAATTTGTTTTCATTTTCGATATCACTTAAGGCCTCCCACACTACTCAGGGTAGGCCGCAAATTTTTGTAGTTTATTGTAGCGTTTAGAATCGAAATCGGAAATCAGGATTTCTTTGTTTTTTAGTCTTTTTATTTTATTTTTTGAAGTTGAGTAGTTTTTGAATCGACCTAGATCTTGCAAAAGTGAATGATCAAAAACCTCTTGAATTGCTTGCTTTGATACTTAGCCATAAAGTACTCAAGTTCACGAAAGGCTCACCTCAAGGTTGTAAAGCAATTAATAGAATTGACATCTTATGTCAAATTGTAGCTAGCGATCAGTAAGGTCGATTTTTGTTTTGTACACTTATCTCGTAAGGCTTTTATGCTCAACGCAAGTCTCACATTGATCTAGCAGAGACCAGTTCTGACTTTTGGCTGGGCCATCATTCTAGATGCTGTTTTGAGACAGCATGAAAAACTAGTAATCAATTTCGATTTTTCTGAACAAAAACGGCTAAACGCTAGTTAATCATAAGATTAGCATCAAACACTGCATAAGGCTCAGACAAATGTGAATATTTATGGACCCATTCTTCACCATCTCGCCTTAGAACATTTCAGACTGTAATGGTTATATAGCAGCAAACATGATAATTGATTTATGAATCAAGAACGGAATTGGAGCTAAAAAATGGGCAGTCGAACTCATGACATAACAATAACAATAGCTGTATCTTCAAGTTCATAAGCAATCAAGTCAGAGTTTGAAATCCGTTCGCATTATAGCTATGATACATTGCTGTCATTTTGAAAAACAAGAGGGTTGAATCTTTTACTCGTTCAGTCAAATAGCTGTAATTTACACTTTTTGTGTATTCTAATAGTCTAAAACTACATACAGTGTTATCCGGAAGCAAAAAAAAAGACTACAAAATAATCTCTTAGAGATTGCCACATTCACAAAGCATAACTTCTTATGGTAACTGTTAATCTTGTGATTCTATCCTTTTATAAGGATGAGCGCCTGTGTGCATATACGTTCCAAACATGAAATTACTTTCAGGCTACAAGCCAACTTTGCTACAAAGCAACGGAACATGAAGGAGAAAAGGGAATAATGCAAACTATATTTGTGGAATTTTATTCATTTTGGAGGTTTTATCAATTGTAAAACTCTCTTTAGCCTCAGGTGAAATGGGGTAGGATATTCAAATGAGCATACTCATCACAAATCCTTCACTTACGAAGAGAAAGGCACATTTCTACTAGCCTGAAAGCATAAAATAAGCACAAAAGCGCTTCAGGATAACAGCCACTGATGGGTAGAGTAATCACAAAAATTCTTGGCTTTTGATTCAGATTAGCCATGTAAAAATTATTTGCAGGGTTATAAGCTTGCTAAGAATTTGCATTTGTAGCAAAAGAACTTTTGAAAGTGCGGCTTATGTCATACCTCTTTAATGGAAAAAAATTCTGTCGTTAATTTCCTGAAAATATTGTACAGGGCTACTGGTTGTGCTGGTTGGGAGTACCGACAACAGCAGGAAACAGATGAAACACATACTTTTGAAGACGGTTATGGCTATAGATCATTTTCGAATGAAAAAGTTGCTAGACCTGACTACGACTTGGCCTAAAATGGCTTAGAAGGTCTGCACCATCTGACAATTTCTTACGCGCAATCGTTGTCGGCTAATGTCGGCATTGGGGCACTACGTCTGATTTGCTAGCCTAATAAGCCATTCGGAACCATGGATGCCAAATCTAACAACAAGGATATGACTTGAAATATGCTGGTTTAACAGACCAGAATACAATGTCGCTAATGTCAGAATACATTGCAAAAAAAGTTGTCTCTCGAACAGTAACCAAGCGCAGGATTCATATGTGATTCACATGCATTACGATGTGCGTAAAAACTTGCGTCAGATCTCTGCAACAAGGAAGCCTTCTTGACGCCGTATAATCGCTTGAAAACTGCATATCATAAAACCAGTCTCTGCCCGGATATAACGCTTTATTGCCGCTATTCAATGCGAATGTCAGCTATGCAAAACTTCGACGTCGCAATCGAATGTACGCCGTGATGGATGTTATTCTTTCGTACACTAACATTGTGTGATGGATCATGTACGCTACGCTTAACCGTTCCATTGTAGTTCGCAGAAAAACTTCCTCAAAACGAAGGCAACGGGAGGTGGAGGGGAAGACGGGGGGGGGGGTGGCTTTTAGGATGAAGAGGCGGTAAAATTGTCTACAGCAAGTTTTCCCTTATGCTTCTTTCAGTGTCCGGACAGAGGCACCCAAATTTTTATTTTAGTGATGGAGAGATCTTAACTTAAGCCAGCAGCACATGATTCGCTCTTGACCGAAATCAACTTTGTTTCGCCCAGAACCGTACCCGGGCGAATCGATCTTCTTAAAACTACTGTCTGGCTAAAGTCAAAGTTTATTTTCGGGACTAAGCGGATGCTGCTCCTTGGATTATTTCTTAGTTAAGACTCGCAAATGTACCTACATAAAAAGCCTAGAAAATTGTCCTCTAAATATTCGTGTTCCCCTCTACGCTCAACTTCTGCAAGAAATGGGATGCTATGAAGATTGAAAAATTGAAAAATTCCCATAGAGCGAACTTTCTCCTTTTCTTGATGTTTGTATAGTCTGATCGGTTTAACACTTGCTGTAGTGCCTACGGTGCCGAAATAATTGCACGGAAAATTTCAAAACTCACTTAGTGCACATTCCGTACTTTTACCTATGGTCATTCTTTGCGGGAATATGTCGACGTAAGAACGCTATATAGTCTTCAAATCATAAATTGTAGTAAATAACCTGATCTAAGAAATTATTAAAAATAAGTTGTTAGATCATGAAAAAATTGATATTTGAATCCACATGCTTTGCAACATTTTATCTACGCAAACTGTTACTCTTAGATACCAGAATCATTGCTTTGGCAATCATTTCCTTCATAAGTTGCAAGTAACAAAAACATTAACACCACTAGTGACAGGCCTGTCATTGACGCTCACGACTCTCGCGACACGCAAATCGGTGGGCAAACTAAAATCGGAGCACTTGGTTGCGGCGAATGGCCATGAAAGAACCGCTGTTTCGAGAGAAATCGCGCGAGTGCCCAAAGAAAGCAAACTGAAACTCGAGCGTCGAAGCGATAGACCGATACTGGGTTGAAAAATGGGGGCATGCGCAGGACTGGATGATTTCGTGCGGATATTTTAGGTTGCAGGGGTTTGAAGAGTTCAGGGCTGAAGGTCTACATCCGCTTGAGAGATGAAAACGTGGAATATTAAAAAATATAATAGTAGGAGTATACAACAGTGCGGTCCCGAAAGTTTTTTTCAGTGGAGTATGGGCGACGTTATTCCAATGGAGGGTGTGACGTTAACCGAACACTGCAATAGAATAACTGAAGTGCTTGAAGTTTCAGCGTACCTTGACTTTGAGAATTCAAATAAGGAAAAAAACTAAATTCTATTTCAAAGAATAAAGTAAACCGCTTGCATGACTTCTTACTCATATAAACCACTTTCGAATATACCTTAACCCATTCTCGATGGAGGGGAAGGATGTGGCCTCTTTGGCCTCTTCGTCAACACGTTCAACAGTGCAGCAGCAGGGCGGTTGCATATAATCCTTTTATCAGGAAGGGGGGGGGGGAGAGGGAGGGAGGAGCTCGTCAAAGAATCTTATGAGCCCCTAAAATCTGCCAAAAAGCGTAAAATTTGTAGTGTTCACGAAAGCTTTCTCCCTTACCCGGTCGGTTAACACCTTCAAGGATATCCGAAAGATGATTTCTTGCTATCATCTTACATACAACACAATTCCGAAGATGCATGGTTACTTAATTTGAATGCAAAATAGACTGTTGACTCACCAAGAGAACTGGCACACCAATATCAAATTTCTGTGCGAACAAAAGCGCCCATTCGATATCGCGGCACTAAGCTCTCGTGATAGTCACACAAAAAGTAGCCCCTTCGAAAACCCAACATGAATGCATTGATGACTAGGCCTTATCTTTATCTCGTTGTGCAATAGCAATATTCTCAATTGCGGGTTTTATAGGTCTTAAGAGCTACAAGGCACAAACCTTCTTCGTCTGGGGTTCAAAGTAATGGACCGATAAGTTGAATACAGAAAACCTTGCGCACGTATAGTGTAAGAAGCTGGATATAGTTTACTTGCTTCGGCGACAACATTTGCGCGTAAAAATCGATGGCGGGACATTATATATACAATGAGAACATTGTTGCTGTTGTATGTTGAATTAGGGTTGATCTATGCAATGAATGAGATGTGAAGTCTAGAATTATAAACTCAGCCTTTACCCGCACAGTAAAGCCGTTTTGTGGTGTCATTTCAAGTATACTAAGCCAAAACATACTCGTCTTGTATTTGAACCAAGAGGTGAATCGGCATGCTTACGTACAACAAAAAGTCAAAAAAACCTAATTTCCGTTTTTTACAAAGGCTACAGCCTATTCACTCCTTTGTGGTTACGATAGACTTACAGTAGGCGTCTCAACCTAAGTCCGCTATAAAGCGTCATATCAATGTTTGTAGGTGTTTGTGCTCAGCATATCGAACAACGATAGGGTTTTTCATGAAATGTTTTGACTCTGTTTTGCGAAAAGAATCGGTCCGGTGGCAACGAGCCATTCAGACGTCAAATGTGTTGTTTGTGTAGCTCGCCCTCCTCCCCTCTAATGTACGGCAGTCTTCACTTTGAATATAAGATGGTTATCAATGCTCTGCACGATTTTGTTTAGTCTCAAGTTTTTCATTTTTTGACAGAGTTTCGGTAAATGCTATCTGTCGTCTGTTTTGTGACTGTTACCATCATAATTTAGAAGAAAAATCAGTCTTTTGCACTACCTTGGGACTGACTCTTCATGGCGTTAAGTGAGGCAAGTTCTTTTTGATTTCTGGTTTTTCAGTTGAAACATGGGACATAATGTAACGATTTTATGATTTTTTGAGGAGGATTCATGCCCTATGTTTCGTTGATTGGCAGGGAGCAGTAATGGTGTTTACCCGAATGTGATCCCCGTGCGTTCATATACACATTTCTTTACAGAGCATCTCCTCCGATAGCGATGATGATCTTTACACAAAAAGTATCGATCTAGAAAAGGTTAAAGTTACGCCTCATAACGACATTCTGCCCTCAAACTCAACAAAGCAGGAATCAAGGCAAATAGGTAAGCCAACTTAACATATGTACAATTATTCACTGTTCTGGAGATGAAGTTCATCGATTCTAGGTAGTTCAGTAGCAGAGATAGAAGTGATCGATGATGACGCATCATTAGATTTACCCGATACGGAGCAGATTTCACAGGTAAGTTGACATTCTTTCATACTTTGATTTTGGTATGATCTTCAGCTGGTTTGAAATACTTTATTCTGTATAGTCTGTGTTTTCTTTAACTATGTTTTACCTTCTTTCAATGATTCACGAAAGAAAGGAATTAATAGCACAATAGTATCAAAAATAATAGCAAAAAATAGCAAAAACTTCTACAGCCATCACACCTTTTTTTGGGAACCACAGGTTTCCTTAATGTACACGAATTATCAGTAATTTGTTTCTTACTATAAATCAAGCTGAAGCAGTATATATAAAATGAGACAGAACTCAAGTCTTCCGGATTATCATTGATAGTAAAATATTGCATCCTGCGTGGATTCTTATAGCAATATAAACTCAGAATTATCATTCGTCATATTATATTGCATCTTGCCTGGACAATTTGAAGCATTAGCTATATTGTAAATTGAATGATGGCATTCTCTGGCATAGACATTCTGTGTATGGGATAATCCACAGGATTTACTGTTACAAAAATCCCATTTGTAAAGTCAACTGTCTGGCTAGCATTCGTTGTTCTGAGTCACAAAAGCTGTGCTTCACTCCAAAAATATAGACAAACATCATCTAGATAAAATCACTTGTAGATCTCTTTTTCGTTTTGACTTAGCTCTGCGGTTTCTTGAAGCAAACTTTCTGCATCCCTGGCTCTGACTCATGTAGTCCGCGATTTATTCTTTCCAGAGAGCAAAGGAGGCACGAAAGAAAAGGATAGAACAACTAGCCAGGAAGGAATTGTTAGGTAACCAATGTTTGATTTTCTATACTTTCAAATTTAGCACATTATTTCAGAGCTAGAAAAGATTATATCTGAACCGGCGTTAGGCTTCATTGCACCTTATCCAAAACGAACAAAACGGGTGAACTGTTCTAAAGACACCCAGGAAATTGGAAGTGGAAATCATGGTATCGCGAGTTATTTCAAAGAGGCTCCAGTAGCAGCTCCTGATAAATCCACGGATGTTTATGACCTAGCCGAACTCGACAAGGAAGTTAATTTATACGTGACGGTCTTTGTGGATAAAGACGTTAACAGGAAGGGACGATTTATGACTTTGCTTCGTGTGAGTTAATCATTCCGATATACATCTTTTTAAACTTATTTCCGTTGCCCCTGCTTTTGTTGAGTGCTGTATCCGGCTTGCAAACTAGCACAATTATCCGTAAATTCAACTGCGCAGTGATTTAGGACGAGCCGTTTGACAAGCTGCGACCGGAATTTGCTAGAGAATTGAAATGTAATCAGCTCGATGTGATGATTCATGTGAATAATGTCGACGCGGGTCCCGGTGATACCCCGGATTCTATGGGTCTTGATATTGATAAAGTAAGTTTTGTATGGTAAAGTTGATTTTACGACAGTGGTCGAGTTATCCAACATGTATCACACTAAAGGGACACTATAATTTTTATAAGAAGCAAGGTTTTTAATTTAATCAACACACGACAGACTGATATCTTGGTTTCATATTTTAGTCACCTTCATTGTTTTGGTTTCATATTTCAGTCATGTCATTATTCTGACTTTTGATTGTTTCCGCCTTTCAATTTCATTTTTATCTTTCTGAATTTTGAGAATAGCTGGTATCGCATTGGTTCAAGCTTTTTCCTTTTTTGGTGTACTCAGGTGTATTCATAACTGAATGTATAATTTTGTTTGAGAATGGGCAGTTAGCTAAGTCGCATAAATGTACAGGGGCTTAGCATTTTTTTACCATTTACGTCTTCCCGTCATCCATGCGCTTTTCTTGACAAGTTTATCTTGGGCAAAAGATTTGTGAGAAGGTCTCAGCATTTGGATCTGTTTCCATTTGTCTTATTCGTAGTCGTAGGGCATTGCTTGTGGGAAGATTTTATCTCCATCCTTCTTTTAATAGTGTGAACGTCACTGTTTTTTTTTCAGTTAGCCGTGGTGAATGTGTTTTCTCTGAGGTCGGAGGAAGGTGTTGGGACGGACTTTAGCACTGATCCATCTTTTATTCCCGTGAAGTGTATATTTGCTAGTGGACGGCCTCGTTGTGTATATATAAAACTAGTAAGTTACCATTTCTAACATGGTATCTCAATGTATACTCATATTTGCAGACCGAAACGTTTGAGGAGGCAAAAAAGAGGATAAAGGAGGCACTGCACTTACCTGGCACTATAGAAAAACTCGTATTTGATAACGATGTCTTGGAGGAGTCGGAAACCCCGGAATCCACAGAAATGGAAGCGGAAGATGTGCTTGAGGTTTATCTCAAAACTTCTTGATCGTCGTCGGAGGATGCTAAGGGACTATCCGGTAGCTATTTATAACTTCTCAAAATTTTGATAATCTCAACTTTTCATTATGAATGCTTTCTTCTCTAATCTCATTTGTACCTCCCCATTAAGTTAGAATCGGATTGTACGCGGTAAAATATGCTGGTGTTGCTCAATTCGGTGTTTCTAGGTATTAATTATCAGTTTTTTTGTGATGAAGATGTTCAACCATATTTGACATCTGCTATCTGCTATAAATGTTTCATGTAGCAAGCTCTGCAAGACAAAGCTATTCACTAATTGGAGATTCGAAATTCTAGCACGATAAATATAGTCCTACTTTGACTAGAGTTTTTAGTCAGTTCATCACTAATGGAAATGTTGTGTTTCTAATGTTTGCAAGAAGTCGAGCATTATGCTGATGAGTCTCGATGAATGTTTTTTAAGCCTTTTTGCCAAATATTAAAAGAATAGATCTTCAACCTAATGTTTTGGTTTTACGCTGATACCGATACCGTAGTTGCAAGCGTATGGCAAGTTGGCACTGTTTATAAAACTTTTCTTGGGAAATTGCGCTAAGACAGTGGACAGTTTATGATCTGACAAACAGCGAAGTGGATGAAGCGGCTAAGCGCGAAAGTCTATCGCTTGCCTAAACAACACTCTAATGGTGTGACTCGGTTTTTAGGTCAAATATCACAGAATGTTTGAATTTCAGCAAGACAAGGTTTTGCTCCAAGACGGTTGGAAAGGGTTCAGAAAGTATATTTTTGAGATGCTATAGTGCGATAGTACCTTAGCTGCTTCGTGTTCCGAGGGTAGCCAGATTCCCATAAAACTCGGAGGTCTATCGTAGGGACATGGTTGTTTGGTAGAGAAACTCGCTAAGTTTCTCCTCGGGTTAAAAAACTACTTTTTTCAAAAGCCAATGTTGGTAAATATATGATAGAAGAGCGTGGCTTCCAGGCACGCTGCGGAATTCGCTTCTAATTCTTTTGGAAGAATGCAGCCACATTCTATCTATATGGGAAGAAATATAAAAATAAGCGTCAATCTTCGTTATTTCTCCGATTTACTATTAATGAGCACATCTCTAAGAGCACAAACGTCCATATCGTAAACGTTGTATAGGAAAGGGAATATTCTGGGCTTAAAGCGCTATCAAAAATGTGAACCTTTTTGAATCCTCTCCTTTGTTCGCACTTTTATGGTTTCTAGTATCCACATTGGCCAAACTCTTGTCTATAGCACAATTTAGGTCTGTACATCTTTTTAAGCAGCAGTAAATGTTGTCATTTAATTCAACGCAGCAGCATCTGGCCTTATGGCTTTTGTCAGAAGCGTAGAAATTGTAAAAGAATCTCTCAGCTGAAAAAAACCGACTTTAAACGGATTTAGAGTTAAGATATCGTGTCTCATAAATTTAAGTCACCATTCAATCTAGCAAAGCCACTCTTCAAATTGGCTTCCAATTCGTATAAATTTAATCCACACCATCTCAATGATCCGAAAAATCAGATCTACTCCTAAAGATCTCTTGTGGACCCACAGTCTGCACACGCTCATACTTTCCCAATCAGACTAGCTGCTGTATTTTTCATGCCACAATCGAAGTAATGCAGGGCTTCTTGCACACAGGTAGACCTATAATACAAACCTTTGGAAGTACGACTAACAAGGGATGCTTGTTAGGTCGAAGTCGGCTTTTTTGACGAGCTGTATACCATATTAAAGGGTATAAAACGCTGTTTCAAACTGTCGTCCTTATCTGCAGAACGTTTATGGACGAGAAGTTATGAGCGTTTTTCGGATCCAAAAATTGAATGTTCATTTTGGATAAAATGAGCTGCTAAAAACTTCCTCAAATAGTACAACCAAGCGTGGAAAATTTTTTATTATATTTTGTAATACTTTTCAAATAAAGTGCTCTAAAATATAATAGTTATAAATACGTAGAGCGTGGTATAGTGATGATTTCCCTTTCTATAACAGTTAACCATGTGCAAATTCTTCGGAGAATAAATAGTTATAAAATTTTGAATTCAATGGAACGAATTTTTGGCACTACCTTATACATCCGCATGCTCATTGATGCTATTTGGTCTCTCGATTTCTTGGTGGCCACATTGGCAATGACAAGTACTTCTCAATATTTATCGAAGGTAGAATTGTAATCCGATACGCACTCCTTTATCGCGATACCTGTGTGGCCCACATCGACTTCTTTCATTTGGCTATTTCATTTTCTTTGCGCATTCTGATGCGAATTCTCAGCTGCGATGAGTGAAGGTTAGCTCCCTTCTTAAAAATTCCAGCAATAGTAGCTATAACAAAACTCTAAGTAATTCCAGCCGAAAGTTTTCGAGAGGATTCACCTCAAGAATACACTTTTGAATCTGATCCTTATCAGGCGAGTTTTACAAAGTTAGCTTCATGGAGGTCCAAACAGCCGTTTCCTTGGCATGTCCTTGTTCTAATCAAAACTTCTTATCTAATAGCTTCGAATGTTGTACATGGTATAACCATGTACTGAAAGTGCAGTATATCTCATTCACTGAAATAATTCACAACCCTTTTATGCACGACACCTCAGGACAAGCGAGGAAATCGAAGATTCGTTAGTTCGGTTCGGCATTTATAGCGTTTTCAGCGCATCTTGCTTGTCTCTGTCGTCTTCCAAAACATATTGTAAGGATGCGTCCAGAGTTGCCTGTGCCAGCACCGTGCTACCGCCGTGCCAGCGCCTACATGGATCCTCCCCGTATCGATCGGTCGCCGGCGCTGACAGCCGCTAGCACGGCACAGGCACGGTCAACTCAGGTGTAGCTCAAGGCACAATTCTTGCAATTAAGGAAAAGGAATGGACATCCCATTATTGTGAACATAGCCATAATTTTCTGAATTCCTATCGTCCAAACTGAGTAGAGGAGGACCGAAGAGGGGGGGGGGGGGGATCGAGTAACGTTTGAAAATTTTAAGAACTGTTGTAATATATTGGATTGGTGCAAAAATAATGTCCGTTTTTCTAGGCCTACTTTCCGAACAATTTTTTCCTTCAAAATTTCTCATACTCTTTCATACTGCTATATTTGCTCTCTGATCTACCCTTCTTTGCAATGTTATGGCCATGGCTTTTTAAGCAGTTCAGCACTAGCGCCAAATCTTTCCTGAATTTTGAAAATTTTTATATTGATGTTTCCGAAGAGCGCTAGTAACTGTTCCGTAGAGCAAATTCTTGGCTACATTGTGTTTACTTTAGATTACATGGGTCACGTTCATCAAGTTCGTTATAATTATTTACTTAAGAAAAATCGCTGCTTTTTGATTACATCTACCACGTAAAGTTACTGAAAATTTCAAAAAGCTGATTTTTCAAAGCAAATTAAACTTGGTTATGTTGCATAGTCACTGTTTATTAGCAATCAAGTTTCAATTCGCAAAAATTTCAAGAGCTTTCATGTTTTAGCTGCTGTTGCGTGTTTCATGAATTTGCCAAAAATCGAGACCTCCGAACAAATAATTTTTTGAAGCTAAAGACAGCATTTTAGGTGAATCTAAAAATATCGCCTTGTAGTCCGGGAATTGCTCTATTTGTGCCATACTTAACCACCTTTGAAACATTGGAATGAAATTTTCAAAAATTAGCCTAATTTTGAACAGATAAAAATGACGGTGAAGAATTGTAACAAATATCAAAAAAAGCATGCAGGATTGTTGCTAGAAAATGTAACCGTAAGAAAGAGAAGGAGAAGCTGCATCGAATGCATATTGAAACTCATTCAGATCTTCATTGTACATAGTTTCATAGCGGTTTGAAAAAACCGACAAAATTTTCGGGACAACCTAATATATCGTTATAGCGACTCTAATGATATTTCGCAGCTATACTGCAGTTTCAAAACTGACGGAAAAACATTAAGTGACTACTGCCTGGAACGACTTTATGTGTTTGCAAATAGGCATTACATCCGTTACTGAAATTTATCAACGACAAGCGTTGAGTTGACTTCTGCGAATTTCATACTTCTTTCGTGGCATCTTGTCGAAATAAGAAAATTTAAAGATGAAAGTGAAGAAATTGAGACGCTATGAGGCAAAAAATCAGGGTATTGCCCTATGTACGTGCATCTACATTACGGCATAAGCAAAAGGCAGTGTTCGTCTTAGAAAATTATGTGCAGTTTCGCGCAGAGTTGAAGTACTCTAAAGAAATTATTATTACGTTACAGTAGGATGCCTTGAGCTGCCCACCCCTCCATTTGTGAGGTTAGTCACTTACTAAAAAGGATCATGAGTCGCATGGCTATCTGGTACGAAATGCACATCATTATATGCGTTTTGTTGAGCTGATTCCAAATCTGACTTCCATATATTGCTGAGCGGTTCTCTAGGGAGAATATTTGAACGTTTGAAAAACCCAATGGCAAACATTCAGTGCCACACTTTGACGAATCAGTTGTCCATAAACTTACTCATATTTCCAAAAGTCTGCATTCCTTAGCCAATTCGCTCAATTCTATGTGTGCTAAATATGCGCTTCCCAGCTTCTCTTTCTTGCATCCACGCCGCGGTAGGAAGCAACGGTATGGATTATTTTCCAGACAACCCAATAGAATACGGTGCAGTTCACCTTAATATTTCTTCGACCGGGTCTGAATTCTGGAACGCGTCAATGATAGGCAGATTTTTTTGGGGCAAGGAAGGTCTGAGATTACCTATAGAAAATGCTTCCTGAGCTTTTAGGTGGATCATGGCGCCTATCTCTCGCGTCTGCTATCTTATCTGAGAAAGATTGGGCCTGTCAAAGCTCTAAAGGAAAGATTTTGACTAGTTCTTGATCGCGATCCCTAATGGCGCTCAGAATATGACTTGGTAGCCAATGATAGCCGTAGGTGGTAGCCAATGATAGCCGTAGGTTCGCTTTAGCCCGCAGTTTGTAAGTGTTCAAAAAATCAAAAGTTGCTAAAATTACTTAGAATTTAAACGAGTGAGTCAAAGTAAGTTAAACTTTGATTGCAAGCATATGTAAGAGTTTGGCATCAAAAATAAGCAGGTATTAGAAAAGAGTAGACTACTCAATGCGACTCAATTACAAACATTTTCCACTTTATGAGATGTTTGGTTATAAAATAGAAGCGCAATGTTCTAAACTGCGAGGTTGTTGCTGCAGTTGATGTTTAGATCCCACACCTTAAATCAGCTGAGGGGGGGGGGGGGGAGAAATGAGGCACGAAAATTGTGAAAGTAGCCTAGATGGATCATGAATTGTGCAGATAATGTTTTCACTTCATGATCAAAACATTTTTTGAATTTTTAAAAGATACAAATTGGCTTATGAATTTTTTGAATTGTGGCTGTCACCATTCCTTTGATCCCCTTCTTGATTACTTTCTATAGATGCCTCACAATTTTTTGGAAGGGTGGCAGAGGCTATATTCGTCATTCGAAAAATTCTGTACGCCCTCCTAATTCCCTTCCCCAGCAAAATCTCGGACCACCACTGACTAGCAAGGACTTTGAACCGAAGCGGGATACATTTCAAAATTAATAGGATAATCAGGGCTCTTACGGGGGAAAGCTATGCTCAACAAACAATTACAAAGTGTTACTGTCATAAATTGGCTCTGCTGAATACTTGATGAAGGAAGACCAACACAAAAGGCTTTCAAATGAGCACGATTAATTATTAATCAGAAAAAAAAACGCAGCTCCTCTGATTAATTATTTATCAGAAAAAAAAAGGAAACTCCTTTCTCCGTTTGCTTAAACAAAGCATGTTTGAGCTTTGGAAGTCTTGGTATGTGGCTTCAGAATGGGTCTTATTATGTTTGCTCAAGCATATCCAATATCAAGAAATGCAAGAAAAAAAGCAAATAGACTATTGGTAGCATATTGGTACCTATTATATTTGCTCATGTACTTTGTTAGCAGTTTTGACATTTGGCATGACGTCTCTTCATCCGAACTATTGGGTTAGCGCAAAAAGGCCTTTTCGTTGCTACGTCTGACGAGTTAATTCAGCACACTTGTGCACATCCAGAAAAATCAATTTCTACTCCAGTATTTTGTTTAATTTCTCTTGCTCTCTCGCACCTTTCCTTCTCTGTAGCTTTTTGCCAAATCAACGTACTCAAATTTCCATAGTCTGGTTGAAGCATGTTGCAATCCTACTGTACAAGCTGCCTCTTAGGGTTTGATGAGAAACTAGGAAACTAGAAAAAACTTTTCGCTAGTGCAAGTTCCATGCATTATCCTTGTGCTTTTCAATGAATATACGGGCTTATCAATTGTAGTGTCGGGTGCAACAACAACGCCGCTCCCGCGCCGGACGCGGCACCTCTTCCGCGAACATGCTCTCTAATCATTTGCAATCGACTAGGCTCCGCCTTTCCCACGCTTGCGGTGGAAAGTGACCAGAGAGCATGCCCGCGAAAGAGGCGCAGAGTCTGGTGAGGCGGTCGCGCGGGAGGGAGAGCTGGCGCACCCGACATTGCAATTGATAAGTCCTGTAATAGTTCTGAACCCACATTCGAATTTGGTCCAAAGCCGACTCCAAGTGTCTGGTCTGCCTAGTCCGGACGTTATGTCGGAAGCACTACTTTCATTTTTTTTTCTGGTCGAGCGAGTTTACAAATACTTTTGCTTCTTATGCACAAAATTAAATTTTGAGTCTGTATGAAAAGGGAAAAGCACATTCACTGGTAGTTCATATATGGATGGTTTGTTGAAGTCTCTGTAACGAACAAATCCACTATAAGTCTTGTCATGTTTTGTGAGATCATTCGCTAACATTATAGATATGGAGAAAACTCGGTTTTCCTTGAATCTTGGCATTTTTTGAACATTTTTTTCGGTACTTTCTGAGCTTGACAAGATTGGTATGATAACTTTATTGGCTGACGTCGACGTTTCGGCGATGTACGCCTTCTTCGGAGCCCGGAAAGGCGAAATCATATTTTATAGATAACGCAAACCTAAAATTATACGTCTTTTTTTTCTTGCTTTCTGGCTGGACATTTTCGTTATCAGATTTGACGACAACGCTTTCTAATTGCCTTCTAGGAGACCAGAACCTTTCACGGAAAGGTCAGCATTCTTCAAATATAATCACACTGCTGCCATCTACAGTATACGTGCAGTAGCTGTGAGAGGCTGGCAAAGAAGATGGAGGTTATTTCTACTAGATTCAATACAAATGAAACCTTCTGGAATGATATCCACGAAATTCCCCGCGAAATAGGCTTTTCATGCGAATAAAATGGACAGTCCATGCAATGTGATAAGATATCCGCATCCGCGAATCCATTCACTCCATTCAAAACTGCTTCAGCAACATTTTCTTAACTTGCCTCAACTTTTACTCAAATTTGCAAACTCTTTTCTACTAAATGGATGAAATCCAACTAGGCT